GTTCACGTCCCAAATCGGCGTCATGAGAAAAAAACAACTAACCACAGCAGACTTAGCGTGGGCGGATACGATTCTCAGATATATCAACGGACTGTCCAAGAAACGGTCACAAGCAGAAGAGAATAACCTTCGGTAAGAAAACAACCAATCAGAAGACGTTGCTTCTCTGCTAACAATAACGGATATTAATGTACATAAAAATCTATAAATATCTGTGGATCTTCTCAATAAACGATGTGTTTCCTGGCCCTTGTCTTCTGTCATTACAACCTTATCTCTACTACCTCTTGCTTTAAAGTTATCTATGAGGTGAAATGATTACGTGTTCAACTCGACTTTAGTTCTGAAGCTTTGATCATCAGAACAGAAAAGTCAGGATTTTGTGTAGACAAAAATTTTGTTCAACCACTTCTTCTTCTCCCATGATCCTAATTCGTCTATGCTAAAATGACACTTCTAAAACTCCATTCCTACTGAGGTGCGAACCAACTAGGAACCGATTGTGCAACAAATAGGCAGGAAGAAATGGAGGTGGATTGGTCATACTCTGAGGAAACCATCAAGTGAGTGACATCACTAGACAAGCCATTGCTCGAGTGGAACCCGAAAGGGAAGCGGCGAGTCGTCAGTGCAAGGGTGACTTGGAGGAGGTCATATGAAAAGGAGATGGAAGCATGTGGGCAGACTTGGAGAGAGGTGAAAACTCTAGCAGAGAACTGAACGCAGTGGAGACGCGCGTCTGAAGCCCTATGTTCCTCTAGGAATTAAAGGATATAATAATAATAATAACTGAGGTGCCGTTTGTTTTTCGCTTTGTTTATTCAGTTTGTACACATTTTCCTTGTTGCATCGATTGCTGTCATTGATTTTAATTTGAATAATTTCCCGTTTTACCTCACTTTTCACCTTTATTTAATTATGCAATTCAGTATAATTTGCCTTTTCAATGTGATCTTATCATATTTTTCACCTTGTTGCGTAATGTGCCAATTATTTTCTAATATTATGAATCCAAAACCCTTACTGAGATTTATACATCCTATGCATCGTTTTTTAATTATAACTTGATACCACACCATATTTTCGGTACAAGTATGGAATTTTCAGATTGTGATAGCTGTAGACCAAATTTTGCAGGCCAACCAAGGATATTAGGTGAGCGCCGGTAAGGAATTGAACCCCGGACCATGTTCATGGTTGGCGAGAATCCTAACCACTGTGCCACCGATGCACAGATAAAATTCATAAAGTACTGAACAGAGTTTGTCGCAGTATATATATCATGAATAAAAGGAATCATTTTATACGATTGCACTGACTGATGATTAATTCGTTGAAAAGAATCACTTGACTGGATCATTTTTTAAAATTTTCATCTAGTCATCGCTTCAGTATGCAACTGAAAAACGAAGATCGTCTTAAAAACACTTTCACTAACTGCTGATTACTTGTTTCTCCTCTCTTCAATTCGGAATACTTGCAGGTGGAATTAAAAGAGGTAGCTGGAAAGCTACATTAGTGTTTTTAGACAATAGGTGATTATTGAAACCTTCCCTAGATTACTAACTCGCTAGTTTTCTAGCCGGTCCCAAGCCCGGATAAAGCGGGAGGGTTGGGTCGTGGTGCTAGCAACTTCACCCCCAAAACTTAACCAAATTGCTACAGAAACTTCAATGCATAAATGTAATAAAAGCATACGCATATTATTTCTAATTGTGGTGGACTGTGTTATGCGTCAGAAAGTGGGAAACGAGAAGACAGGAATATCCTGAATCGACCAACGTGAAGAACCTAGAAGACCTGAATTTCGCACGTCGATGATTTATGCTTGATGTCACACAAAATCGAAGACTTACAAGCGAAAACCGACAAACTGGTCGAAGAAGCAGACATTGAAGACAGGACTCCATGTGAACATAGACAAGACGGAGGTTATGAAGATAACCAACCAACCAACCAACAACAACAGCAGCAACATCCAGCGTCGATCACCATCAACGGGAGGGATTTCAAAGAGGTTACTTCATTCACTCACTGATCTAGGGAGCATTGTCTCAACTACAGGCAGTCTGAACGGACGAGGATGTCAATCAGAGCGGGAATCGGGATGGCGAGAAACACATTCATCCACCAACTGAAACAAATCTGGAAATCTTCGTCAATCAGCCAACATCAACAACGAAATTCGGTCGGATTTTCAATACAAATGTCAAGTCAGTCAGTTCTTCTACACAGATCAGAAACTTGACGGGCGGGTCACAAAGAATATTTCCAACAGGCCATTGTAGACCTACATCAACAACTAACTGTCTTCGCTCTATGCTGAAGATCAGACGGCCGGGCCGGAAAGAATCACCAACAAGAAACTATGGCTGGTAACAAACAAAACAAGAACCGATCGCCCACCAACAGCAAATATGCAGGAGAAAGTGGAGATGGATTGGACACTCGCTGAGGAGGCGGCTGGGTGACATCGCGCGCGCGTCAGGCCATTGTTTGAGTGGAACCAGGCCGAAAGGGAAGCAGTGAGTGGGACGTCAGTGCAAGGGTTACATGGAGGAGATTGTGTGAAGAGGAGTTGAAAGAGTATGGACTAACATGGATCCAGGTGAAAAGTGCAGCAGAAGACAGAAGCAAGTGGAGACGTGTAGTTTATGCCCTATTTTCTAGAAGGAACTCAAGGGAACAATAATAATAATTAATCGAAAAAAGTTATTAACAAGGTAGAGTAATACAGTGATTTTCAAGAGTTTTTTTGTAAGGATTCGATGTATTTTTCAAGGTTGGCCACATGTTGTTATCAGTTAGAGAACCATTGGAAACAAAGGAGTACTGGACAGTCGTTTTGTCCTATTTTGAGACTCATCGGTATTATGTGCCCTCAACAGTGTGAACTCAGGACCTTTCTGTTACAAGGCGACCTCGTAATCTTTTCAGCCACTGGGATCCAACTCAATTGCTAGTTTAAAACAAGCAATAAAGTTTAATAAAGCAGGATTTAATGGATTCATCAAATTTCGGTAGAACTCGTCAGCTGAATACTCTACATACACGAATATATATACTTTTGAAATTGCATTGCGAGATATAAGACTGATAAGTTGAATACTCTACATACACGAATATATATACTTTTGAAATTACATTGGGAGATATAAGACTGATAACTAAACAAACTACATTGAATTAATCATGCAGAAAGACAGGTGCGAATGTTTTCCAGTTCATGAATTCTGACTTCTATCAATTCGTGATATTAACCCGATCGCCAGTCAGTGTCATCGGCGAGTATTTGTCCTCACTCCTGAAAATTGATCTGATGCTAGCTAGTGACTGGCTGTTGGACGAGATTGCCTTGGGTTCTAATGAGTAGTTGTGACCAGTAGGATCCATCCAGTGTGCAGAGAGGACGGATACTAGTTGATGACGTTGGCCGGTGCCAGCCATGCTAAAATCATGAATTTTTTAGAAGTTAGAATTCATAAGCTGACGACTGAGTCACATCCTAGTGGCTAAATGGTCTACAAGCTTGCTTTGTAACCGTAAAGTCCTGGGTTCACACTGTGGTGGGCACGTACTACCGATGAGTCCAAAACTAAGATGAAACACCTTTGTTTCCAATGGTTCTCTAACTGATGTCAATCCATGATAAAACTTGAAAATAATGATTATTTATTTAGTTGGTTCTTTCCTTTACTATCTGATTGACGTATTTCTAATCAATTTGGTTAGAAGGTAGACGGGTTGGATTTTATGTATTCACTAGTTTTCACCTCTCACATAGGGGTGGTCTCTTCACTGCATTGAAACGTCGAGTGTTTCCAGACTAAAGAAACAGGATGACCGATAGCTAATCCAAGATGCTTATCACCGGATTGGTGGACACTGTGGATTCAAATATTGAACTGGGAAGACTCCGATTCTAAATCAGTTGTGCATAAGTAAGAGAGAAATCCGGAAGAATAAAAAGACGGTTGCAGCGAAGAAAATTTTCTTTTCGACAAAGTCACCACAACTAGGCTGTACATTCGTGTTTTTATAATAAATGGGTTGAGAAGTTCCAGAATATTTACCGGAAGAAATGAATGGTTTAGAAGAATGTTTAGGCCAATCAACAACTAGAGGATCGCTTTCTCTTGATGTTGCTATGCTGTCTTGTTAATTGAACTTTGTGGAAAAGGCTGATGCAATGATCGTTCCAGAGAAATCAAATGTTTAAGTCTGAGGTACAAAACAGTAACACAAATTACACACAATTTATGAAATAGTTATGATGAATGTTGAGCATTAAACTGTCCGTTCAATTTCTTGTTGATCTGTTACTATCATCTTTAGACTTATTTCTATCTTTATTCAACTGCTTTTCATCGATTTAGGTATGTGATTGGCTGAACGATTTCTGTCAGATAGCTGACATCCAATGAGTTGTCTGAAATTAAAACATGTGTCTAGATTATGCGTTTCTCAAATTAGACGTTGGGTATCTAGATAACAAGTGGATTGGTTCACTGTTGATGTGCATCACATTTCAGAACCCCCTCCCCCTCAACAAAAAAAGAAATCAAAGATAACTCTCCAGATTGGTTTCTATATCTGTCAGTTCCATGAGCACGTTCTATCTGATTCTACCACAAGGCCTTCCATCGATTTTGAACTATAGATGACATATCTACCTTGTAAAGCACTAGAAATAAAGTAACATGACTCGAATGGATCCTACTTAATTGTTGATTGAGTAATTTTCATACCACAAGAGAGAGAGGCGACTGGCAAAACATACAATCTATATTTTATATTTTGATTGCAGCTTGATTCCACATTGTATTTTTGATACAAGTATGGAATTTTCAGCGTGGATATCGGTAGCCCAAATTTCGCAGGCCGACCATAGATATCAGGTGTGCGTCGGCGAGGGCTCGAACCCGGACCATATGCATGGTCGGCGAGAGTCCTAACCACTGTGCCACCGACGCACAGGTTCAGGTTTATAAAAAGAGACCCTGACGAGACCCCAACTACGACGAAACAGCTGTCCAATACTCCATTGTATTTCCTTTAATTCATGTGACCTAAGTCGGCGTAAATAAACTGTTATAAAAAAACAGAAAATAGTTTTGTTTAGAACATACAAAAAGAAATCATAAATTTTTCTTTTTTTAAGGTAATAATCTTTTCATATACAATTCTATCATCATTATGTAATAAATGATAGATGACAAGCAAACAAAAGTTATGAATAAACAACTTTGAATACAATAATGATAATAATAATAATAATAATAGTGATAATAATTGTAGTGAGGTTTGTCTAGTGGATATTTGTGTATTTACTCCAGAAGAGCACAAAATCTTAGACTAAAATATAAAATCTGTCTAAACTGTATGTATGTATGCATGCATGGATGTGTGTGTGTGTGTGATATGTGCTCATAGACAGAACAGAACAAAACAAAAGAAAAGTAAACAGATACTACTCATTTACTCAACTCAGACTAGATACACTTACAGTGTGTAGAGAGTAGAAACTGACAAGACAAGACAAGACAGGATAGGGGATTGGTGGCTTATGTATGTTTGGCGTCTAAACACTTTTTACTGGTAGACAGTACTCCACTGAAAGTAATTATAAAAGATACACACACACAGGCATACAGTAGTAAAGATAGCACTAACACACAAAAAATAGTCGAAATAAAGTATCTACTAATAGTAGTATTGTACCACTGGAAACACACTGACGACGAAATATGCGATCGCCAACAATCCCTTCTGGTCGTTGTTTATTTTTGTTTTTTTACACTCATGTTTGGTTAAGTAGATCGAGAATTCAAACAAACATTTAATGTGGCCATGAAAATGTACTCTTCGGGTATTTCAATACACACACACACACACGCGCGCAATACAACTGAACAACTAACAGAAGTGTACAGGTAAGCAGCTATGGGTGCTCTATGAAACTGATTTATAGCAAATCACAGCAAACAATAACTTGTCCATATGAGACAACTAAAACAAGAGCAGAGAAGAGAAGATAACTAACTCTGTGTCAATTGAATATATTTTTTAAAAGGGAACTCTTTCTCAATCTCAAAGATGGATAGGTTACGATAAAAAGACAGACAGAAAAGGAGAGAGAGAGTGTTTTTGTGTGGAAGGAGTACACAGAAACAATACCAAGGTGACTACTGTTAATACGAAAAATGAATCTTGCAGAAAGGATAATAATAATTTATTCTCTAATTGTAAATGATAGTACTGGGGGTGTCCCTCCATCCCCCGGCTGCCGCCTCGCTCCGAGAAAAGAAGAAGAAGAGGCAGAACAAGGTGTAGGATAAACAAAATGTGAAGTGTTACACACACAAGAAGTACTCCCACACACACACACACACACACACACATAGCTATCAATAATGAGTAGGTAGGCGCGATTGTAAGTTATTCAACTTGTTGTTATATTGAAGTGTATATATGTATACACCTCTATGATGGCAATTCAGTATATCTTCGCTTATTTTTATTTTTAATATGGCAATTCGAATTTCACATCGATTGCAGCTTGACGAGCCAAATGAACAATATCAGCCAGTTTAACAGACTAAAAATTCGAAGAAGAAAAAAAGTTAGAAAAAACTGATATACAATTAATTATAAATTGCATAACAATAATGCGAACAACACTCATATATGACATATAATTGCGGTAACTAACAAAAAAGGGGAAATTGAAAGTCCCCCCCTTTGCGACTCTGAGTTCAAGAAACATAAACTAGCGGTCAAAGGACACAAAATTTATTCCTTCATTATTATCAATGCATATAGACAACTGTGGACACCAATTTGACTAGGAGAATATAGAAATTTTACAAAAATGCCAAGGAGTCTGTCTGGTACTCGGACGAATCAGTGACCAACAGACACACCACTACAGATGAATTAAATTTATCAACTAATAGAGAATAAGCCACCTAACAAAATAAAAGTTGAATTCCAAGTCAATAAAAAACGATCAATACTGGTAGAAATTAACAGACAAGTCATCACACAATTTGTCAGGAGATACAATGATATCATCATTCATGGAGAATTCATATAAGTTTACTTTGCACTGAAGATGTTGCCTAGAAAGATAATGAAAGCTTCGCAATCGAAATCAGCCAATCAGCTCAGAAAACGCATACACATTAAAAACGGTACATTCCTACTGCTTTCCTTTATTTTAGACAATCACTTTCAGCTGAAATATGAGAATACTAACACAAGCTCAATGACCTTAGAGCAGACAGTCAGAGTGAACCAGACTAATAATTAAAGTGAGAAAAATCTGCTTGTCCACGGAAACAAAATGTCTAAAGATGTGTAAGAATATTAAACAGAATCTTTATCTTAAAATGTCGCCAGAATAATTTCCACTTTTTCATAGGAATATTGGCATTACTTCAAATTAGGTTTAGGAGTTAAGAGGTTTGGTTTTAGGCGACTTATACGGATTAAATCCAATAATTGAAATATCAATCTGCAGTTTACTGGTGACCACACTGAATAAATGTCCTGAATTTGTACTGAGAAGTAGTGACCGGTGCGATGCACCAAAGATCAGTGTAAATGACGATTTGAATACATGGTATACATAATTTCCCCATATGTTTATGTTCTAAATCCCTAATATACATTCTGTTACCAAGTCGCTTGTCCTCTCTCGTTACAGTGTATATATCAGATTGGTTAACACGATTAAATCAATAGGGAAATCTTATCTTAGAAAAGCCTGAAGAAATAAGGTCATTTGCATTTATATATATACATATTTATATTATAATGTATATATCGACCAAAGAGCGGAGGATTAAGAGTCATTCTCCAAAAAATGTATGCCGATAATAATAATAATAATAATACGAAGAACATGCTGTTGAAAATATAGACAACAATGTTTCTGTATGCGATAACATATAAATTATTACAACAAATTTTCGAAGTTCTGGGGAATGTGTGACAGCTGATGACACTTTCCATTTGCTCAGGTTGGAATGTCATGGGATTTGTGGACTTAGAACTCTCTGGTCGAAAGTCAAGTGTCAAGGCCGATGAACCATTTCTTAACACATACAGACTAACCGAGATATGCCTAAATAGATGTCTCGTGAGTCTATGCAATTACCAAATACGGTTCATAAAGTTGTCAGTAATTCACACTTATAACCACTTTTTCAATGGAGCAGAAGAAACGGCCAAGTTAAACTTTAAGCAGCACTAACTACCAATCAGCGAATGACTTTGAATGGTCCAATGAATTTCATCCTGATATGTATCCACATATATATATATATATTTATGTGTGTGTGTATGTTGGTCTCTCTTTCTGTTTGCTCGGTTAGTCTGTGACCACTTCACTTGTATGAACTTGTCTCCATTAATAATGTGTATTCTCCTTATATTATATTATATATAATATGAGTGTTTGTTGACAGTCCGTTGCTTGGTGACATATATCCATATATGTTTGTTGGCATGTCTGCTATATTCGCTATGTATAATTGGATCGACACTCCATTATAATTAGCCATTCATGTTAAGACTGTCTAATGATTTTTCCCACGCTTGTCTGAATTATTTATATATATTCGCATTCACAATTTGTGTGAACTACTTTACTTTACAACTACTTTACTTACTTATCACTTTGGTGTGAGACCATTTATTTTCGTCTCCTTGTGTTTGGACAATAGAAGTATCATCGCAAACCTAGTGGTCTTCTGATTTCCGCCTTCTCGCGTCAGGACTATAAGTTTCTCGACCAGTCCATAACAATAATTCAGCGACGAGTACATAACAATTTGGCGACGGGGAAAACTAGTACATAACAATTTAGCGACGAGTACATAACAATTTGGCGACGGGGAAAAACTACTATTAACCACACAGCAGCAACAACATTACAATTTACTATGGATCCTATTAAATTGGAATTATTGTTTGAACGACAAATGAAATTAATGGAAATGTTCGTCAACCAACAGACTGGTCCAGCTCCACCTTCAAGCAATCCCAATCATACCATGCTACCATCTGTCGACGGCAATGTGAACAGTATTTCACAGTTCAATTATGACCCAGAGGCTAATGTCACTTTTGACACATGGTATCAACGTTATGAGGATTTATTCACTGTTGATCTCGCCTCACAAGACGATGCCTGGAAGGTGCGAGTTTTGCTACGTAAATTGGGTCCGGCAGAATATGAACGGTACTGCAACCTAATTTTACCACAGAAACCACGTGACAATTGTTTCGATGATACAATAAAGTTGCTGCGTGAACATTTCGGAGACCACTCCTCGTTATTCAGTATACGTTATCGTTGCCTCAAGCTGGTAATGAATGAAAATGATGATTTTCTTACTCACGTTGGCACAGTCAACCGAGAATGTGAGAGATTTCGACTCAGGTCCTTAACAGATGATCAGTTCAAAGCCTTGATTCTCATATGCAGTCTCCAATCTCCTCGTTTCACAGATATCCGAACTCGACTGCTCAATCAGCTAGAACAAAATCCCAAGTTAACATTACATGACATAGCTGATGAATATCAACGGCTGATTAATCTGCAGAAAGACACATACTTGGTCGAATCAACACCTCCGAGAAGCTCTGATATTCGTGCATTACGCAAGAGCAAAAATCTCTCATCAGCTACTCCTGACCCACCTTCTCTTAATGTCCCGCGGAAATCTACTGATACTCGTCCAACTTCTCAAAATACTGCAAAGAAGACCCCACCATCACCATGCTGGCATTGTGGCGCGTGGCACTTTGTAAAGTCTTGTCCATATAAAAATCATCGTTGCAGCAAGTGCAAAATCATCGGTCATAAAAATGGTTTTTGTCAGCCACGCAAACCCAGATGTCAAAATCCAGCGAAAGCTCGACAAACTGTTGGTCCTAAATCCCCCAAAAAGTCATTGAGTCTACGCGCAACCCGTCAAGTCACAACGCCAGCTATGCGGAAATATCTTGATCTTCAGATGAACGGTCATGATGCACGTCTGCAGCTAGATACCGCATCTGATATTACTGTTATATCAGAGAAACTTTGGAATTATATTGGCAGACCACCTATCACCAATACTTCCCAGTCTCTTGTCAGCGCCTGTGGTGGGCGGCTCAAACTAATTGGTGAACTCAAATGTTCTGTTTCCTTCCGCAATACCAAATTCACAGGAATTTGTTACGTTACCAAGAATGATTTAAATCTTTTGGGACTTGATTGGTTCGATCGTTTGCATCTAGCTGATGTCCCACTAAATTCTCTACGCAATACAGTCAAGAAGCATAAAATGCTAGACAATTCCGGACGGAGCCGAAGCCGCAAACCCAACAATCAGACGAAACGACAGGCGTCAACAACAAGCCCAAAGGTCCCAGATAAACCCCCAGGTAAACATCCTACTAATCATTCATCTTCTCAAAAGGGGAGGTGATATGTATCCACATATATATATATATATTTATGTGTGTGTGTATGTTGGTCTCTCTTTCTGTTTGCTCGGTTAGTCTGTGACCACTTCACTTGTATGAACTTGTCTCCATTAATAATGTGTATTCTCCTTATATTATATTATATATAATATGAGTGTTTGTTGACAGTCCGTTGCTTGGTGACATATATCCATATATGTTTGTTGGCATGTCTGCTATATTCGCTATGTATAATTGGATCGACACTCCATTATAATTAGCCATTCATGTTAAGACTGTCTAATGATTTTTCCCACGCTTGTCTGAATTATTTATATATATTCGCATTCACAATTTGTGTGAACTACTTTACTTTACAACTACTTTACTTACTTATCACTTTGGTGTGAGACCATTTATTTTCGTCTCCTTGTGTTTGGACAATAGAAGTATCATCGCAAACCTAGTGGTCTTCTGATTTCCGCCTTCTCGCGTCAGGACTATAAGTTTCTCGACCAGTCCATAACAATAATTCAGCGACGAGTACATAACAATTTGGCGACGGGGAAAACTAGTACATAACAATTTAGCGACGAGTACATAACAATTTGGCGACGGGGAAAAACTACTATTAACCACACAGCAGCAACAACATTACAATTTACTATGGATCCTATTAAATTGGAATTATTGTTTGAACGACAAATGAAATTAATGGAAATGTTCGTCAACCAACAGACTGGTCCAGCTCCACCTTCAAGCAATCCCAATCATACCATGCTACCATCTGTCGACGGCAATGTGAACAGTATTTCACAGTTCAATTATGACCCAGAGGCTAATGTCACTTTTGACACATGGTATCAACGTTATGAGGATTTATTCACTGTTGATCTCGCCTCACAAGACGATGCCTGGAAGGTGCGAGTTTTGCTACGTAAATTGGGTCCGGCAGAATATGAACGGTACTGCAACCTAATTTTACCACAGAAACCACGTGACAATTGTTTCGATGATACAATAAAGTTGCTGCGTGAACATTTCGGAGACCACTCCTCGTTATTCAGTATACGTTATCGTTGCCTCAAGCTGGTAATGAATGAAAATGATGATTTTCTTACTCACGTTGGCACAGTCAACCGAGAATGTGAGAGATTTCGACTCAGGTCCTTAACAGATGATCAGTTCAAAGCCTTGATTCTCATATGCAGTCTCCAATCTCCTCGTTTCACAGATATCCGAACTCGACTGCTCAATCAGCTAGAACAAAATCCCAAGTTAACATTACATGACATAGCTGATGAATATCAACGGCTGATTAATCTGCAGAAAGACACATACTTGGTCGAATCAACACCTCCGAGAAGCTCTGATATTCGTGCATTACGCAAGAGCAAAAATCTCTCATCAGCTACTCCTGACCCACCTTCTCTTAATGTCCCGCGGAAATCTACTGATACTCGTCCAACTTCTCAAAATACTGCAAAGAAGACCCCACCATCACCATGCTGGCATTGTGGCGCGTGGCACTTTGTAAAGTCTTGTCCATATAAAAATCATCGTTGCAGCAAGTGCAAAATCATCGGTCATAAAAATGGTTTTTGTCAGCCACGCAAACCCAGATGTCAAAATCCAGCGAAAGCTCGACAAACTGTTGGTCCTAAATCCCCCAAAAAGTCATTGAGTCTACGCGCAACCCGTCAAGTCACAACGCCAGCTATGCGGAAATATCTTGATCTTCAGATGAACGGTCATGATGCACGTCTGCAGCTAGATACCGCATCTGATATTACTGTTATATCAGAGAAACTTTGGAATTATATTGGCAGACCACCTATCACCAATACTTCCCAGTCTCTTGTCAGCGCCTGTGGTGGGCGGCTCAAACTAATTGGTGAACTCAAATGTTCTGTTTCCTTCCGCAATACCAAATTCACAGGAATTTGTTACGTTACCAAGAATGATTTAAATCTTTTGGGACTTGATTGGTTCGATCGTTTGCATCTAGCTGATGTCCCACTAAATTCTCTACGCAATACAGTCAAGAAGCATAAAATGCTAGACAATTCCGGACGGAGCCGAAGCCGCAAACCCAACAATCAGACGAAACGACAGGCGTCAACAACAAGCCCAAAGGTCCCAGATAAACCCCCAGGTAAACATCCTACTAATCATTCATCTTCTCAAAAGGGGAGGTGATATGTATCCACATATATATATATATTTATGTGTGTGTGTATGTTGGTCTCTCTTTCTGTTTGCTCGGTTAGTCTGTGACCACTTCACTTGTATGAACTTGTCTCCATTAATAATGTGTATTCTCCTTATATTATATTATATATAATATGAGTGTTTGTTGACAGTCCGTTGCTTGGTGACATATATCCATATATGTTTGTTGGCATGTCTGCTATATTCGCTATGTATAATTGGATCGACACTCCATTATAATTAGCCATTCATGTTAAGACTGTCTAATGATTTTTCCCACGCTTGTCTGAATTATTTATATATATTCGCATTCACAATTTGTGTGAACTACTTTACTTTACAACTACTTTACTTACTTATCACTTTGGTGTGAGACCATTTATTTTCGTCTCCTTGTGTTTGGACAATAGAAGTATCATCGCAAACCTAGTGGTCTTCTGATTTCCGCCTTCTCGCGTCAGGACTATTAGTTTCTCGACCAGTCCATAACAATAATTCAGCGACGAGTACATAACAATTTGGCGACGGGGAAAACTAGCAACATAACAATTTGGCGACTGGGAAAACTAGTACATAACACATCCACGTGAGTGGAAGATTCTATTCAGCCTGATTCGAATCAAATGCCTGTTCTAACGCAGCTTGGCTTGCAGTTTGGTGAGAATAAGGTTTCCCAGTATTGCTTGGATGTGGGGTTGCTTAAGAAGGAAAAGATTTGTTCATGTGAAGGTGTCATGAGAATAAAAAGCTTCAGCAGGTCGACTGATAACTATGTCCATCGTTGTGCAATTTGTTTGAGACGAATTAGTGTCAGGGAAGGTAAGCTGATGATTCTAACATTTCGTACGAACATTTTCTGTCAGGTCCCATCAGTTCTTAACTCAGATTTCGTATGTTTTTAATTACTGGGTTTTGAAACAGCCTGTGAGAGATGCACCTGCTGAAGCTGGAAAAATTCTCGTATCAACGGTTTAGTGGTACCAGCATTGCAAAGACATCGCCTCATGAAAAATGGAGAGAATTACTTCGCTATTAGCAGGAGAAGGTGTTATCGTACACGTGGATGAAACTGTCTTATTGAAGAAAAATACAACCGTGGTTATGAACGAGCAAACAATGTTTGGGTAATTGGCTTATATGACACCTCTCTACAGAAAGGATTCGTCGAGAGAATAGCAGGCAGAAAGTCAACTACTTTAGTACCTATTATCACTCAATTTGTGAAATAGGGATCTATAATACACACCGATGAGTGGAAAGGTTATAACTCCTTGTCATCCCTTTGATAAATTCATCAAAGAGTGAACCATTCTAATGGTTTTGTGGATTCCACTACAGGGAAACATGCCAATTCTATAAAAGGCTTTAGGGGAAGGTTAAAATACAGGATTCAGGCTATAAGGGGATCTCAAAAGGATGTCATTTATAATCATTTAGATGAATGTATAATGTGGTGAAACTTTTTAATTCATACTCGTATGCTAAACTGGGAGATGTTTTTATCATATGTCAGAGAAAGGTACCCCTATTTAACAGTTTTATGCAGTTTTTATGCATCTTTTTCATAAATATATGTTTTCCATAACTAAAAATGCCTCTTTCGTGTGATTGGCTCGTCCAAAGTCATTCTCTGATTGGTAGTTATTGGTGCCTAAAGTTAAACTTCGCCGAAGAAAGTAATACATGTGTAAAGCCGGGGCACTGTGGTAGAATGTAATCCCATATAGTAATTTGTTTACTGGATATATATAACACACAGTGAAACAGTATTATTTGCTGGATGATATTTTGAATACAATTCATTGTTCATAATCATATCAATTATAACTACACAACTTTGAAACTTCAGTTTTATATTTTACTTTCTATCTTCCCATTCATCGTAGGGGTAGTAGAATTTTCCAAATGCCCAAGCAGGTAGTTGTATTAAATTTTAAGACTAATATTTTGTCGCATCCTATTGCATGGTTGAGTGTTACTAAGTTTAGTATTATAGCAGAGTTGCTTTCTAGATTTCTCATCTTATTAGAGTCAACTAATCTAGATTTATAGAGCATGGGTTCCCGTCAGGATTCAGATTAATTTTTATGTGGATTTTGTCACGAACCGACATCAATTAGAGACCAGTGAAAACTAGGGAGCACTGGAGAGCTATTTCTTCATACTCCGGACTCTTAATCAGCACACACCGACGACCCACCTATATTTTGCTAGGTTTTTGTGCTTCGCTAATCTAAATGAACTCATTCGCTTAATTTCACTTATGTATTTGATCACACAATCATTACAGGATACTAGACAAACTAAACATCATCTAGTAAATAGTACTATTTTGTTGTGTGATAGATCTAACAACCAAATTTATATGGAACAACAAGAAATATCTGAGATATCTGTGCATATATCTCATTTGATTCAAGTTTATACACGAAAAGCTACAGTAACACATACAGTTATTATCATTTATCATTGCCTGTGTTCAACATCGCGTATACAACAACACTTCAATAAGAGTCCGACTCTACGCATGCATCTCAGATAAAGGTATTCATTAAAAGATTTAATTTATTTGATTTCATATGCCTTTCATAAGATTTCTCAGGAATGATGAACGCTTAATATGATCATCTTAAAACAACACGATCTTCACTTTTGCTGCTTACATCATACACATGGAATACAGAGACCGGCTTGAATCACTGAGCTACTTGAATTTCCATCCAAGATAATGCATCATATTTTCTTTAATACTTGTTGGCATAATCACTCAATTATGTCGGTAGGTTGTCAAATGCATTTATGCACATTTTTTTTTATTGGTTTTCACCCTTCGTTACTCCGTTCTGAGGAGCCAGAGAAAGATACCCTAATGGATGATTATTTTACTCTTCAAATTGAACAGTATTGCGTCATATGATTTACAGGAGATGGCTATTTTACTTAGAACTCCTGGGATGAAGTAAAAAATATTATGCAATAAACTAGACTGAAAATTATGCCTCTTGTGTAAACTTAATCTGCAGAATAATGCTATTATTATTATAAGTATTATTGTGAATCATCGGCAATATGCAGCCAGTTATAAGGCAAGCTCATATACCCATTCAGTCACTGGGACCCGATTCAGTGGCCAGTCCATGAATTCTAACTTCTACTAATTCGTGATTTGGCCCGACCACCAATTAAATAAAAAAGAGGAACACAAAAAACAGAAAGGCGAAATAAAATATAGTGGAAAAAACATCCATCAACAACAACAACACCAGGACATACCATATGAGCAGCTTCATCCAAATCACTGCATCCTAAAATTTTCATATCACTACTGGCAATAATTGCTTTGGCGTCTTCAACTCTAGTTCCTAGTGATTGATTATAATCAAGTGAGAAAAATATTATTTTTAAATAGAGAACAAAATGAGAGGAAAAAGGATAATTAAAATAATTACTTAAAAAATGACAAAATTATGTGTACATAGTGGATACACGCTTTTCTTAAATAGAATTAATGAAAATAAATACTTGACTTTGAAAAGGTCTTTGACAGCGTCGATCGAGGCGTGATTTGTCAATTACTTCGCTACTACGGAGTGCCACCAACAAGTATACATCTCACTCAACAGTTCTACAACAATGTTGCATGCCAAGTAATCCACAACAGGAAACCTCACGGAATCCTTCGAAGAAGTGAAGATGGGAGTAGGACAAGCTGGCTAGCTCTCTACTATCTCCAATGATTTTTCTGATTGCGGTAGACTGGATAATGCGACAGACAGCGTGCCAGACAGCGAGGAAATAGGCATAAAATGGACCCACATAAAAAACTTGGAGGATTTGGAGGATATATATCTGATTTCCCACATACTGGAAGATATGTAAGTGATAAGCAACAAGTTGGCAGAAGAAGCATCAAAGATAAGAGGGATTTCAGGTGAACACAGAGAAAACAGAAGTGACAAAGATTCCTGGCCAACAGCAACAACAACAACAATAAGCATAAGCAGGAGAAATCTGAAAGAAGCAATCTCCTTTACCTACCTACCGACCTAGGAAGCATCGTTTTAACTACAGGCGCACGGAACTGATGAGGATGTCAAAGCGATGATCAGGAAAGTAAGACAAGCTTTCATTACTCCCAAGCACTCAGCATGAATAATACGATCCGGATTTTCAACTCCAGTGTGAAGTCAGTGCTACTTTCGGGACCAGACACTTGGCGCCGCGTCACGAAAGCCAAATCGTAGAAACTACAGACTTTCATCAATGGCTGTCTTTACTCAATACCAGAAAAGATCAGCAATAGTGAGGGATATCTGAGAACGAATCAACCCAGTAGGAACCAACCGTCCAACAAATATGCGGGAAGTAATAGAGGTGGACTGACTATACTCTCAGAAAACCATCTAGTGACATCACACGCCAGGCTCTCTCTAGAGTGGAACCCGAATGGGAATCGGGGGGTTGGTCGTCAGTGTGAGGGTGACATAGAGGAGGTGATGTGAAGAGGAGATGCAAGCATGCGAGCAGACGTGTAGCCAGGTGAAAACGTTGGCCGAGAACCGTACACAATGGAGACATGTGGTTGAAGTCCTATGCTCCTCCGGGAACTAAAGGAGACAATAATAATATAACAACAATGTTTTGTTGAAGCTAATCCAATATACATTTTTATTCACTTTAGACTATTAAAGGTAATTTACAAAAAAGTCTGGACAACATTTGTGTCAGCATATGTCTGTAAGACAAATTTGGTAGAATAGTTATCGTAACAATAGCACAGAATCTTGGTATGTCATCACCATTCTGCTAACTACGGCTAACAAGTAGAGCATCGCATAACCTGTTTAATTACTCTTGTGTAAGCAAATATCATGTAGCGCTAATCACATGTGGCCATTATTGTTTATTTATTATTCTATTCCGCTATAAGTATGTAAACCCTTCATTTCATATTCAGAAGCACAAAGAAAAGGAAAGAGAAGACGTGTCATGCGACTATAGTTGAGGGAAATGTACGCTAGGGACAATAATTAGATGATATTTAGAACTTGGATGATAGAATTGAATATGAATATATCTGCCTTATTGCGAAAAATCCCAAGCCATATCACAGACAATCTGCGTTCACTCATCCTGAGCATCCCAAGAACCTTAACCAGGCAATCTACTCTTCTTTACGTGGCCTAAACCAACAGTCAAACAATTCAGGGACTGAAGGCACGTTCCTTGATGTCACCACTTCTAACACTTTCTCACTCTAAACCTATATGATCAACTGGCATTATAGGTCGAAGAAGACGGCACCTCGGCATGTGCGACTCATGTCTTAGCCATCTCAACTGGCGTAAGTTCATTATATCATCAATTGGTTCTCGCTGCTTACATAATACTCGACGCTCACCTCCATTATTACTGACAAAAAGATACCACCCAACACGAGAAATTGAATGGATGTACAACTGTGACGAAAACCACTAATTTTTTTTCATCATGTCTAACTCCAACAGTCATTTCTCGCAACCGTACAGTAAGGTACAGTCAACTGCTGTACGGTACACAATTCTTTTGAAGGACAGTCAGATATCACAGCTGCAATAAAAAGATGACAAATTTTGGCGCATACCAAACGAGACGTTTGTATCCGAACTGGAAGATATAGATAAAAAGAGAGAGAAATACGCAACAACAATAATCACCTTGTAATCGTACAACAATTGGCACTTTAATATTTAATTCCGTAGCAGCAGCTACAATTCCTTGAGCAATTACATCACAGCGCATAATACCACCAAATATATTCACAAGAATTGCATGAACTTTAGGATCAGATGTTATCAGACGAAAAGCTTCAGTAACTTGAGCTGCTGTTGCACCACCACCGACATCAAGAAAATTTGCTGGACTACCACCGTGTAGCTGGATGAGATCCATTGTAGCCATTGCTAAACCAGCTCCATTAACTAAATAAGAAAATAATATTTAGATTATAGTTATTTTGTTTGGGATTTGGATTCATTTTATTATCTTACGAACCGAAATCAGTTAAAGATCATTGAGAACCAGAAAGCACTCGACAAATGCTTCGTTCAAGCGTGGGACTCCTCAGGAGTGTACACTAAGATCCCACGAGAGGTCGAACCCTGGACCTTCAGGTTACGAGATTAAGCTCGCTTGACTATTCAGCCACTTGGGATGAAATTCAAGAGAAGAGTCCCACACTACGACGAAACAACTGTCCAGCACTCCCTAGTTTTCAATGATCTCTAACTGATGTTGGTCAGTGACGCAATTATCACTGAAGAAAATAGTAATAAATTAAATAACACTGAATAAATTTCGCATGTATTTTGTGATCAATTATCGAAGAGTTTAGTCACACCCACACGCATACACTTGTACATGAAGAAACTCAGTCACGTGATGATAATGTGAAGTTAGAAGACGAATTTAGTAAGCATATATACGCATATTAATTTTAAGCTTTGACAAATAATTATTTCGGATAAACCACAAAAAAAGCGGTTTGTTCAGAAAAATGATGACGTCATTTTTCATTTCGTCAATTCCTCTTTGACATGTTGGTTAACGGGAGACTCCCAATTTAATTAACACTTATATAACTTATACACAGAAGGCCCGAATTTGTACAAAACAAAACAAAAATAAATGTTTAGATGAATGATTGACTGGTTTCAACATAGAACTTTGCACAGATGTACAGCAGTTCAAGTCGCCACACTCCCTCCATGTAGCACACAAAGCAAAAAAAGAAAGTAGAGGAAATGCATAATAGAGACAATTAACAGGGATATGAGACAAAAGGAAAGCTATAACGAAGAACAATATAGTCTCATTGGTTATTATAAGTCACAATGAGTGGATACATATGCGCCACTGAGAACGATTTTGAGCCATATCACCAGTTGTCTCCAGCTATTGCTTTTGACCATCCCGAGGATCCCAACCAGAAAGTCTACACCTTCCTACGTGACTGGTTTAAACTAACTGTTGTTGATTTCATTGACTGGTGCTATGTTTTGGTTTGACCGCCGCTAGCTCATTTCCAGCCTGACCCTATGTCAGTGGCTAACATTGCCCGTCGAGGAAGGCGATGCATGCGTAACACATGTCTTAACCATCTCGGTCGATGTAACTTCACAGTCTTGTCGATTGTTTTCCCCTCCTTACCTAGCACTCGACTCCTAACCTCAATATTGCTCACCTTATTATACCACTTGACACGGGAGATAGAGAGCAGGCACCTACAAAAGTACAAAAATTGAGTTCTAAACATATGGTAACAATTGCTTTGGAAAACTTGAGGAGAATACTATTATATTCTCTATTAAAAATCTCGAACGATTTTCAGGGTGTCCACTTCATGGCCCATAATCAACGAGATACCTGACAATGGAACTATTGGAAGCGTTTGTTCTCTTGAGGGATAGGCTTATTGGTACACATAGTCAGTGATCATATTTGGGAAATGATCTGAAAGTTTTTTTTTTACTTCATTTCAATTAGTTCAGCACATGATCTTAACTTCGCTTGATTGACTTTACAGGGTCAAATCAATCGATATCTGCTGATACATAAATTCTTTGCATCCATCCATACAATAATGGTAGTAGATAACAAAAATCAATGTTTAAATCTCATTCTACTTGAGACTTGTTATTTGAATGTACCTGGATTTCAGTATTATAAGTAATCTTACCATGACTTGTACTCAGGCTCGCATAGTTCCAAATGTCATATATTAAGTTAATTAGATACGAGTATAATAAATTTAAGAATTCTCTGCTAAATGAAGGATTGATTTTCTTCTTATGTTCTGACTGACATTCTAGTTAACTTGTAACTCTAATGTCAGCAGAGATGTGGTGGTAGTTCACTGGTACTTGGCTTTCAGTCAGTAGATTGTCGTTCAGAATCCGACTCCGCCTAATTCAGCATGGGTGTTATATATACCCTTAGGGTTCTGAGTAGGACAAAAAGTTTCAGCACCGCATTGCCATTTTACTCTTTACTTTGCAGTCTTATTTAGCTGTCCCCACAATTATCCATAAGCTTTCAATTTATCCTTTCATTCTCCTCCTACTTCATGTCGCCTTTGGATTCATGACCAACTCATCGTTTCCTTTTCGTGTTCTACTCGAGAGTCAGACGAATGAAGTTCCGCAACACTCTAATAAGCGCATTTTCAATTTATCTGCATTTTCTTCGACATATTTTGTTGGACAGCAGATTCTTGACTGATTCGCTGCATTGTCAGAGTTGCTTATCCTTTCTCCTCAACCATCTGATCTTCAGTATTGAGATAGCAGATGCAGGTACTGATGAAAGTCTGTAGCAATCTGCTGGAAATGTTGTTCGTGACACACACATTAAGTTTATGAACTATATAAAAGAGCTGAATTGAGATTAGTGCTGAAAATTCGAATCCTATTCCAGACTAATTTCAGAGTAATGATGGCTTGCTTCGCTTTTCCGATCTTAGCTGACTGGTTTCAACATCCTCATCATCTGTACCACCTGTAGTTGAAACATCGGTGGCACAGTGGTTAGGACTCTCGCCGACTGTTGGCCTGCAAAATTTGGGCTACCGATATCACATGCCGAGAATTTCATACTTGTACCAAAAATACGGTATGGAATCAAGCTATAATCGAAATAAGATAAAATATTGCCCAGCCAGATAAGTGGGAGAATTGATTTCCTTTAGATTTCAGCCTAGATAACTGAGTGATATTATCAACATCCCCCCCCGCCGCCGTGCAACAACAAGTGTGTGACTTACAGTCTGACAGCCTGATTACGAAACCATGTCATTCAAGTAGCACAAAACTGACAAGGATATGCTTAGCTTCATGTTAGAAGAAATGTTTCACACTTATTAGAAAAAGTATAATCATAAACTGTTTTCACTTATGGTATATCGATCAAACTAAACAATGGAAAAGAATCAACTTCATTGACGCATTACAAGACACTATACAACTCATCAAAATAAGGATAGATAAGATAACATTGTAAGACTGATTGATATGCTTTATGATAACACAGAAGACTATTGAACTTATCATTAGATAGTGAACATGATTTCCTGTGTACTTCAAACAGTAGATCAAAAATGATTATTAGTAAGAGAAAGCATACCTATACTAGCAGTAATTAAAAGATGAGTTCATCATTAAGTTCAACCCACTGTTAAAAGCATGATAAGTCCGATGTTAGAAAGGTCATGAAATCTGACCTTTTCAATTGAATTTACTAATCGATAAGGTAGGGAGTTATTAATTATATTGCAACTCATTATTTACTAAGAATAGATTTCTCATGTACAAAGATATGAGTTGACAATACTAACCATTTGATTGGGCTAAAGTGGGAGTAGTAGGATTGGAATCCAGGACGCATCAACTGAAAGTTAAGTGTCTCTAGTCAATAAACCCTATCAGCATATATGTCCTACTAAAACATAGTTAGGTGGAGGGAGAGGTTATTCACCAAATCTGTGTTCATTGAATGAACACCGAACACATGCAATCAAAATGACACTACATCAGATATATAGAAAATTGCAATAAATTACAGGAGGTAGTGGAAATATATAGAGTAAATTTAGTGGATGGTAGCTAGCAGTGGAATCGTGCTATTTGGGACTCGTCATCTGGATGTACCTGCATTCCCCGCTGAGCGATGGTGTCCCCACTGAGACTCGGACCCTGTACCCATCAATTCAAAGTGTTATCTAGTAGGCCACTTCAAATAATAGGTGATATCCATTGCATAAGAGGTGCATCTCGCAGCCCGAACGGGAACAGCACCACTCCTAGGGGAATGCAGATACATCCAGATGATGAGTCCCGAGCAGGATGAAGTACGCATCCTGGATCCCACTGCTAGTCACCATCCACCAAATTACTTCAAGTTAAATTCTCAGACATCATCAAAGCATCCGAACAAGGAGCCGAGATATCAACAGATCAGTAAATTGTTCACAAAACATCATCCAGTTATGATTACTGGTATATCACTGTGTATGTTTTATCAAATACACATATCTAGTATATGGGAAAGTAGAATTCGCGGAACGGGTGAAGATGTCAACACCAGTCGGAATCGGAAAAGCAAGATACGCCTTCGTCAACCTTAAACCAGTTTGGAAATCCTCTGCACTGTACTTGGCCAGCATATAGAACAAGATTTGGATTTTCAACACAAATGTGAAGTCAGTCAGTATTTCTATACGGGTCAGAAACGTGCACTGCGTGTCACGAAAAGCATTTCCAACAAGTTACAGACTTTTATCAACAGCTGCCACTTTCCCTGGCTTGCTCCATACTGAAGATCAAATAGCCAACCGGGCAGAAAGAATTAGCAACAAGAAACTCTGGCTGGCGACGAATCAACCAAGAGCCGATTGCTCAACATATATGTAGGAAAAAATGGAGATGGACCGGGCATACATTGAGGAGGCCGTCAAATGACATTGCACGCAATCCACGTCATCGCTCAAGTAGAATCCCAATGGCAAGAGACGAGTGGGTCGTCGGTGCAAGGGTGACATGGAAGAGAACGTGCGAAGAGGAGGTGAGAGATGATGGGCAATCGTGGACTCAGCTAAAGAGGACAGCAGGAAATAGAAGTGGAGATGTGTTGTTGAAGCCCTATGTTCCACTCGGAACCCAAGGGAATAATACAATAATAATAATAATAATAATAATAATAATAATAATAGAATAGACCTACCTAAACAACCAATATTCCCATCTAAACCAATATAATTCAATCCAGCATTAGTTGCTTTCACATCACGTTCATCTTCTTGAGTCCAATCACGTTGTGCAAAAATCTCTTTCTGTCTAAATGCAGCATTATCATCAAAATTCATTTTACAATCCATACATAGAACTATAAGAAGGAAAACAAAACAAAAACAAAGAATAAGATTATACTTTCACGTTATAATTAGTCTCCACAGTTAAGTCAAATTTAAAAAACATACTGATAAAATTAGTTTATAATTTAATTCAGTACAGAGCTTCTCTGTGTACGGGTCTATGAGTTAGGCTAGATATCTTCAAGTTTATGACACTATTCATTGTCACCGACTGCAACTAACTACACTACAAATAAGAGTTAACCACGTATATCTCTAAGACTTATTTGATGAAACAATAGCACCCTACATTCGTTATTCCTATACCCCAAAAGTTGATGCATTAATCGGAATGCATTTATCTAAAAGATTACCAGCAACGTTCAACACTTTCTTAAAGTCCCTAACTAACAACACCAGCCTTCAGAAGAAAATCTCAGATGCTGGAAATAAAATAAAATAAACCCCAACAGCCTAATCGTCTAACACGATGATGAAAGACTATTTCAACTTAACTAACCTGCTACAGAACCACCTTACATTCAAACTATTTATTCTTAATTTTTATGTGATAATAACCATGTTGCTTTTAGTATTCATTTAGAGTACTATAGAGTATAGTACAGCTAAGCTTCATATTTCACTTTTTTCAAGCGTGAATGAATATATAAATTGGATAAACAATACAATCATGTAAACTATTATATTACACATCGACTTTTGTTGTATAGTATTTCACGATCTAGTACGCCCGACAGTCAGTGCACTCCGCACCACTCCCCAAAACTCTCTTGCTCATAATCCCTTCCAGAAATAACTTACTTATTGACTTAATGTGATGGGGGAACAGGGTGAATAGCCAAGTATAAGTATTGGATTGCAGAACATCCTGGTGAACATCGAACTCAGGATACCAAAAGAAGGAATGGTGTATAAGTCTAGGCGCCTAGTTGCTTGAAAATAGTACTATTTAGTGCTTGACATTGCTGCATTTGTGGATCACACTTCAAACAGAAAGCTCATCTAGTAGCCTAAAGCAACCACCTGCCGTGTTTTAGGTGTCAAGGCAGTATCTCAACACTCAAACAAAACATACAATGACAATACAGTGAAAGTCTTTATCAGTAATGAATACTACGTGAACTATATATTCAAACATTCAATCCACTAGCATTACACTGTTTTTGTTATTCTCACAAGAACTGTGTTTTGTTTTCTTCTGATCATGCTTACCCTTACTCGATCAAGCTGTTGTTAGTCAGGGTTTGAAATTCTGCTCTGCCTGTATCGTGTTAAGACGTGTTGGATAATTAATCTCAGAAAACTGACCTTTAGAACACGACTATTTTGATATGGGTCTTGTCTAACTTTGCCGTATACGACTGCACTTTCATGCAAATTGGACAATAGATAGATGTAGTAAGAACCAGGAATTTCAGTGATGTCCTTAGATAAATTAGCTTCAAAAGCATTTTCCATCAGCAAAGGTGTTTGGCCTACCTCGATTCGCTGTTTTATCATGTAGTAAACTACTTACTCTAATCAACTGCCCTCTCCACATCAACGGTTAGTTACATATGCTGTTACATTGGGAAGGGGTTGAACTAAAAGAAGAGATGAGTGGCAGAGGAAACGATGTCTTTTTGTCATCTGTGTCCGCTTGCACTTCGACCGTTACAATTAAGGATGAATTGTAATAATCAATGTTAAGATCTGAAAGAAATTTGCTTGATAGATTTCGTAGTGTCAGTCGACAACTTGCATGCACGGGTCGTATATTTAGATTTCAACAAGGTGTACCTAGGTTGCTGTTGGTTAGGTAATAGGGACAGTCTTCCAAAGCTGAATGTAAATTACGACCTATTTCCGCGTAGCACCAATTTTAAACGAATACCACTGCTATTGTGGCGCTTGATGTTCCAACTTCATTACTCAAGTTTTGGACTAAAAGACATCAAAATGTAATCAGTTGTTGAACCAAGTTTATTAAGTGTATACTTATATCGAGTTTGGAAGTGAAACAACACAACTACTGATAAGGGTTTAATTAAGTAGTTAAGAATTTCTATCATTATATCAGAATTCGCAATGATGTATCTCGAACCTATGTCAGTAGATATGGGGAATATAGAGGAATTAGTGGGTAGGATTTAAATTTTATAACTCATCGAAAGCTACCGAAAGTCTTTGGCTAGATAAAAACCAAGATGAATTCCAGTTTTTTATACCCTTACATGGTATCTCTATCATTATTCCTGCTCAGTCACATTGTAGCGAGTGTTACTGATAAGATCTATCAGTAGTATGTAAAGAGACATTCATCGGCATAAAAACATCAAATAGCAGGGAGATACATTTGATTTCAGAGTAGAAAAAGGATAAAACGCTGTGGAGATACGTAGGAGACGTGAAACGAACACAGAGAAACATGACATGAAGTCCAGAAGTACCAAAACACGAAGATCTGTGACAATGGTGCGTTGAAGATGATGTATACACAATTTGGCTATATGGAGATACGAATTTCCAAACAAACATTCCTTTACCAAGCCTTTCGTCTTCTGCCATTTCAATATTGCTTCTACACATGTAGTTTGATAAAATCAGTATGGTATAAGTAGTTTATTGAATAGTAGTTAAAATTCACGAACCACCATTCAGACTAATAGCCAATAGCTACATGGATTTGCTTTGCATTTTCTGTTATGGTTTTATTAACATCTCCTTCAGTGCGTCGGTGGCACAGCAGTTGGGGCGCTCGCCGACCATGCACATGGTCCGGAGTTCGATCCCCGGCCGACGCACTACTCCCTTACCTCGCTAAGCCAGAAGTAAAGCTGGTAAAGAAGAAGGGTTTGGCATGAGGCTAGCAACACCATCCTGTAAAAAATAAACACTGCTATAGAAACTTTAAGCCTCTAGCTTGAAGCCCTATGTTCCAGTGGGAACGTGAAGGAATAAAAAAAATCTCCTTCATCCCATTTCTCAATTAAGTCAGGATGTAGAACTGTGGCTAAATGGTAGTCCAGGCATTTCACTGCTTCCCACGGGATCGAATCACGTTCCACCAGGTGGTATCATTAGCGCTCATACACAGACATAAGTATTCCGTGTGCCAGTCTCATGTCAATGCAAGTGACTGTCAAGTAACAATTCCTTTTTTTCCTTATATTCACTCACGATGATCACAACTTATTATAAAAGGAACATAATAAAAAATTTCCTGACTCGTCATATTATCAAAATCTTCATCAAAGATTTACATTCACACTTTGAAACAAAAGCGATATGATTATCGAAATGAATCTGGATGACATTGAGAAATGGTGTATCGATGGTTCTATGTAGTTCTTCCATATTACTATTCTTTTTGCCTCATACCTTTTGTTTACTGTCTCTGTTTTGCATTTCTTTTTACTTTCTTTTCTTGCTTTGTGTGCTAAGTGACGTGTTGCGGCTGGAACTACTGCACATGTGTGCAAAGTTCTATGCTGAAACCAGTCAGTCAGTCAGTATCGACGGTTCGTTGGTAGAATGCTCGTGAATTACATAAGCAGTCCAAGTTCGACAACCATCCGACTTACTCTTAAACACCTTGCGTAGCCAATGGTAAGCCTAAAAATGGGGGGAGGTTAGGAGTGAGTGTAGCAACCTCAACCTGTGTGAAATAACACCACCGCTACCAAAACAGTATGTTCCACTTGGAACTCAATGGAATGGAAATACTACTAATACTACTACTCATAATAATAACAGTAATAATAATAAGAAGAAGAGTAAGAATAAAGTAATAAGAACATACCATTTCCTTTAATATCTTGAGAAATCGGATTAATTTCTAATAGTGTACAATCAGATGTTATAAATAGTTTATATAATCGTTCAATGTAGTCTGCAGCTTGTTCAGTATGTGCTAAGCCTAATTTTTGTGCCATAAATACTGCATCTTTTCTATTCAAACCTTTATCGATATCAACTGGAATCTGGAAATACAAATCAACCAAAAAACAAACAGAAAACACAGACAATTTTCAATGAAGAACACATAAGATAAAATTGTCATAAAAATGTATTAAGTTAATTTATATTTCCTGTGGATGGATTATGTGGGACTGAAATGCTTGGTGTCTGCTGACATTTCTTCAGTGACATTTGAAGATTTACATTATGTTATGTTTTGTTGATGGCGAAGATCCTGGATTTCAGTGCTTATTAACAATGGCACAGGACATGACTTCTGTGGCTCAGTTTGAAACGATATATGCAAGGTTCAAGTTTCAGTGGTAACACCACTATTCATTGAGACTGCAGGTACTTGCGGATGACGAGCCCCAAATAGGACGAAATTCACATCTTGAAGATTCCACTGTTAGTCACTATCATCCAAAACTGTTATATAACTTATTGTTTTAAAAATTAACCATAATTTATATTTCACATTTTAGAAAAGCAATAACAACAGTGTGTCTCAGTGCTTCAACGGTAGAATGCTCGCCGCAACCATCCGGCAGGTTGTGCCCCGTCTCGTTTACTAGCCAGTAGTGAGTTCTGAAAAGATGGAAGGTTAGATACGAGGTCTGCAACCCCACCTCTTAAAAAGAAAGCACTACAACAGCTACTGCGACTGTGAAGGCTTGAAGGCCTGTCTTGTTCCACTCGGAGCGCGAGAAATAAAGCAATAACAGAAACATTGGATTGTATTTGGTACTAAACTGCTCTATTCTGTACTTCAGCTACAAGTTACACAACTGACTATCCGATATTATTATTATTACAGGTGAATTATGGTCGTTGAGCATTTTACTCTGATATTTAACTGAGAAGTTTTTTTTATTACAGCTTGATTCCACACCGTATTTTGTGGTACAGGTATGGAATTTTCAGCATGTGATATTGGTAGCCCAAATTTTGCAGACCGACCATAGATATCAGGGGTGCGTCGGCAGGGGATCGAACCTCGGACCATATGCATGATCGGAGAGCGTCATAACCGCTGTGCCACCGACGAACACAAGAGTAGTATTTGATAGCTTGTAGAGCAAAATCTACTCTCTACTTCCCCAATAGATTGTTATCAGACAAATACGCTAGTTACTGTCTACCGAATAATTCATAAATGAAGCCTATTCGCATGATGAGTTTGGAACTACAAAATTTTCAACAATGCGTACAAAGATATTACTTCTAAGCTATTGAAGAGCTATTCCCTGAGGACCACAATCACAAAATGCCAACGGTGCTACGACTTCAACATAGCTAAAATGCATTCATGGTTTTGGGTATGCACATCTCAGTCGCCAAAAGGGAGCAAATACGACAGGGTGTAACACCAGTATTTTAATGCTGATGCAATTCTATCAGTTACCTTTGCAATATATGCAACAAAGTTAGCGGATTTAACATCGTAGTGTAATTTGGATTGACATTGGAAAGTTGAGCGTAACTAGCAGGAAGCCTTCGATATAAATCTTGTGTGTATTAACACTCATCATTAGGGCATATTAGCAATCTCTAGGGGACTGATATCCTTTAAAAGACTCAACCCCGTATTTATGGAATGCTTCAATAATAGCTATCTTATTCATAATAGCTCAACAGTAACGTCTCTGATTTTGATATACTGACTAATGTGCGGTTAAATGTTACACAAAACATGCGGTTTCTCAAGAGTGCATACACACACGCACTACTGATAAGTGCCAACAAGTACGAAACCTTGGTAAAAATGGATTTATAATATATATGACACTATGATAAAATCTCGCTACGGTGAACAGCCATTACAGCAACTTTCACGTAAGATTAGGTTTCCACTGGCAAATCGATTAATCCATAACTACTGAAGATAGCAGGTTAACTCAGCTGTTATAACTCAGTTACTTGGTATACATTCTCACTTACCAGGTCATGAGCTATACTTAGTATGTGAGGGTTGCTCACGCTGGAGTATATGGGGAGGGATTCGAACCCGAGATACGTTGACTGAAAGTTCAGTGCTTACGCTAATGAGCCACAGAGTTAAGCAGTTAAGCAAGCAATCACCGAGACTCTGTGGTGGAAGTTTTGATATGGAACTAATTGTTAAGTGTGCCAATTACAGAAATGCATCTAAATCTTTATTTCAAGTGTCATTATATTTTTAACTGAAGCAGAATGTTATTTTTAAAAGTTTTGAATATATATATATATATTCATAGGTGCATTGAAATACCTTAATTAATGCGCTGGGATTTTCTCGTGCCACTTCTTCAATATTTACGCCACCTTGTTCACAACCAATCAATACTGGTCCACCACTTGATCGATCTAATACAATTGCCAGATAATGTTCACGCCTTGAATATTTACGTTCACATGCTAGCAGAGTATTACACAATTGACCTGAATCGCCTGTTTGAGCAGTGAAGATGCGGTGGCCAAGCATACGACTAGCCACATTGACAGCTTCTTCTACACTGTGGAAAAATAACAATAATAATAATAAAAAGAAAATAAACAGATTATCATATGAAGGTACTACTTATTATACTATTCAACATGATTGCAGATTGACTAAAGAGAAAGCTGATGTATGTAATCAGCCTCATCAAATGAAGCTATAATAATAACTAATCAATGTAGTTCATATATAATTCAGTAGGCAAATGTCTACACACTTGAGGAGGAATTAAAATTGAATGTACTGTAAGTTTTAAGCAGTAGCATCTACAGATAAATAAAATATAGTACCAATACTTGAATATCAATGAGATTCTCACTGGCGACTGGCCCTAATCCGGTAGGTAGTTTACCTTGGTTCCAGTGGGAAGTCGTGACCAGTAGGGTGCAGCAGGTCGGGTGTGAGGACAGATACTCGCCGAAGACATTGGCTAGCGGTTGTGCTATATCGTGAATTGGCAGACGTTAAAATTCATGGGCCATTGGATCGGGTCCCAGTGGGTTAATGGTATACGAGCTCGCCTTGTAACCAGAAGGTCCTGGGTTCGAATTCCGGTGGGTGCGTACTGCTGAAGAGTCCCAAACTAGGACGAAACAGCTGTCCAGTACTCCCTGCAGGTTTTCCAATGGTTCTCTAACTAATGTCAGATCATGATAAAATCATATAACCAAATATAGTTTAATTTGTAGAGGAAGACATCTACTATCTAGCTGGCGTCCTCAAGACATTAAGAATCAATGGTTGGAGACTGTTGGTAACATGGTTCACAATTGTTTTTCAGTGGCGTAGATGCAGGTCCTTTGCATGATTCGGTGTATTGACTACATATATTCATTCCTCGACAGATTTTGCAACGCAGGCACACTTACCGGAGACCAACATTACGTCTATTTTTCTACCTGAAGGCGGAATTCCACTCAGTCGACCAAGAGGTGTTATGGTGATGTTTGGCTGTGTAGGGAATGTCAAGAAAGTATATCGCACTAATCGAGGCACTATGATCGAACTCACGAAGCAATGTAAGAGCTTATGGACACTTGTCATCTGAAGTGATGACAACCAGTGGTATCTATCACGGATATCCACTATTTTCATTTTTGTTTAATTTCATTATAGATGTACTAATCGAACTGACCCTAACGGAGTTTAGATACTTAGGGATCGAATTATTGCCAGTCATCGAATTAGAGTATGTAAATGATATTGTCCTCTTACGTGAACATGCTAATAAGATGCAGTCTTCTGAACACCTTGAACAAAAACCTTCAAATGTTTTGCATACGATTCACTCCTGTCAAATGTAGGACGGTACTTCATTGACTCCTAGTTTTAAAAGATAAGGAGTAAAGTGATAAAGCGTGTTGACTACTTCGCCTATTTGAGAAGTTATATCAGTTCCAATGGATTGATTGCTAACAAAATCTCAGCACGTATACGAAAGGCTCGTGTGGCATTAGCCAACCTACGTCATCTCTGGCATAGACGTGATATCTAGCTATCGATCAAAAGACGTGTGAACTACGCAGGAATTCGCTCTGTCTGTGAGACATGGCTATCGAAAGTGGAAGACATGAAAAGGTTAGCTCTCTTTGATCATAGGTGTATAAGTTCTATCTCCTATGTTAGGTGGTATAATACGGTGGTAAATATTGAAGTTAGGCGTAACCGGAGGGAAAATCAATCGATGGAGTTGTGAAGTTAAACAGATTAGTTTTCTATAGTTTGGTTTGTAAGGGTTAGTTATGTTTTTACGAGTTGATCACGGATTGATATCAGTTAGAGAGCCATTGAAAACCAGGGAGTACTGGACAGCTGTTTCATCCCAGTTTGGGAATCATCGGTAGCACGCACCTACCGGGATTCGAATCCAGGACCTTCCTAGCTTGCCTTGTAACTGTAAACGTATAAACAGATTAGGACGGTTAGGATATGCGTTGCATATACCAAATCATTGCCTTCCCCGACAACCACTGTTAACTCATATATAATTGGGTTGGAAAAGAGTAAATAGTTTTCACATTAAAACATGCTATCAATCTATGAAGTCGTTGACTATTGACTTTAACCATATGCTTAGATGTAGACTGTCTGACAATTTGAATAGTCGCACTATTTTGTACAGTTCTATGTTGAACATTCGATAGAGTTCAGAGTATGAATATTTCAGTCTGCTTGTAATTTGTTGTCTGGATGTAGCCAGTCAACTCATAATGTATACTAGTTTACTTACTGCTTATATCAGTCATTTATTTCAATTATTACAGTGGCTTTTCTTCTACAATTAATTAATTATAAGATGGACAAATATTCATCTACAAGGTCACCTTCAGACAAGTTCATTTTATGTACATACAGTTTGACTATTTATGCATATTTTGATCTATAATAAAATCTGTACAATTCTCCTAATGAGACTGAAAATATTATCTAGAAAAATCTTGTTTACGCTTTATTCTTTTTTCTAAACTCATTGAAATTATTTTGAAACAATTTTATAATGATTTTATTAAACTTAACACGTAAACGGGTCCAGGGAATTCGTAATATCCATATTTTGGATATTGAGTCAAGAACCCCGTTTCACTGTCAATTTTCAAGTATTGGTTTTGTAGGGATTTTGTAGTTTGATTGGATGGAGGATTTCATCATGAGCTGACATTAGTTAGAGAACCATTGGAAAACCTGCAGGGAGTACTGGACAGCTGTTTCATCCCAGTTTGGCACTCTTCATCAGTACGCACCCACCGCCACTGTTCGAACCCAGGACCTTCTGGTGACAAAGAAAGCTCGTAGACCATTGGATCGGGTCCTACTGGCTCAATGGTCTATGAGCTCGCCTTGTTACCAGAAGGTCCTGGGTTCAAACCTTGGCAACTGGTACGTATTGATGAAGAGTCCCAAAATGGGACGAAACAACTGGCAGTCCAGTACTCCAGGGTTTTCCAATCGTTCTCTGATTGATGTTAGCTCATGATGAAATCCTCCATCCAATCACTCTCAATCATTGACTTGTATTAGAGATCACCTCTAATATATTAGAGATGACTTCGTTTAGATTTCTCCCATTGATGGGGATTGGTGCTTGTTTTTATTGTCATATGGGTATTTTCATAACTTCTATCTCATATATGTTTACCTGAAGTTCTGTCCTAGTTGAATCTACTGTCAACTTGTTGGCTTTCGCCTTTAAATTTTTTGAGTTTGTGCGATATGGAACATAAGTCATCCTCGAAATATGGACATTCTATGGTTATTTTGTTGATTTAAAATGTGCCCACCTTCTCACCCCCTACGGCTTGTTGCATGATCCAACCCACCACAGTCAGGAATATATCATCGGTAACAGTAGGCAACCTTCTCTTAATACTGTCTTTACTCCAAACACTTCAGTCAGCTTTCCTGTGTAGCCTGCATGGCATAAAGTATCACTGTGTAGTTGTTGAATGAGGTTTGTGATACTTTTGTAATACTGCACTCCATAGTGTTGAAGAATTATCATTATTATTGTTTCCTCGGGTTCCAAGTGGAACATAAGGCTTCAAAAACACATATCTATTTTGTCAAATTCTTTGACGTCCTATAAAAAAGAGAAGACTTTCAGCGAAGAGACTCTTTTCAGCGAATTCATTCACATAGCTGTACAATCGCATTTATGTATAATTATTTATTTATTATATATAAATGCGATTGTACAGCTATGTGAATGAATTCGCCGAAAAAAGTCTCTTCGCTGAACGTCTTCTTTTTTTCATATGATTCAATGGGGATTTTCAAGCTACTCTTTGACGTCCATTTTAACAGGCCCCATGATTGTCTATAGTATCTCATCTCTTCCAAATTACTTCACAGTAGACACTGTCGAAGGCCTTTACAAGCCTGAGGTAAGTTCTGTAAGATTATGATCAGTAGTGTTGCAATTCGACTCCAGCATGACTTAGTTTTCCTGAATCCAGTCTGTCTCGAGTAGAGTTTTACATCCAGAGCATCTTTCAGTGTCCCCAGGATGATGCAGCTAAATATTTTGCTTGGGGTGGGTGGGAACCCAACGCCACACCAGTTGTTGCATAGGCTCACACTTCCTTCCACACCTTATGTTGATGATGATAAAGATTCCTGGCCAGCAGCAACAACAACAACAACAGACAACAATCGGCATAAATGGGAGAAATCTGAAAGCAACCTCCTTTGCCTACCCACCTACCTGGGAAACACAGTTTCAACTACAGGCGGACGGAACTGATGAGGATACCAAAGCGAGATTCGGGAAAGCAAGACAAGTTTCTATTTCTCTCAAGTCTATGTGGAGGTCAACAGCACTCAGCATGAAAAATAAGATCCAGATTTTCAACTCCAATGTGAAGTCTATACAGATCAGAGACCTGGCGCCGCGCCGTGTCACGACGAGCACTTTGAACAAACTACAGACTTTCATCAACAGCTGTCTTCGCTCAATACCAGTCAAGATCAGATGGCCAGAAAAGATCAACAATAGTTAGGGATCTTTGGGAGCGAACCAACCCGTCAGGGACCGACTATGCAACAAATCTGCAGGAGGAAATGGAGGTGGATTGGGCGTACTCTGAGAAAACCATCAATTGAGTGACACCACACGCCAGGCTGTCGAGTGGAGCCCAAATGGGAAGCAGCGAGTTGGCCGTCAGTGCGAGGGTGACATGGAGGAGGTCATACGAAGGGCAGATAAAAGCATGTGGGTAGATGCGGAGCCAGTTGAAAACGTTGGCGGAGAACCGAACGGAATGCAGACGTGTGGCTGAAGCCCTATTTTCCTCTAGGAACTAGAGGGAACAATAATAATATAACACTTTATGCATTAGTGGTGTACACACGTCCAATGAGATTTCCGGATCCGTTTAAAGTACTGCTAGGAGATTCCATCTGGTCCTGTTACTTCCCCCGCTGGCTCTGCGTAACTTTATAGTGAATCAAGTGTTTTCAGTGATCAGCCTGGCGTTTCCTCTGCTCCACCTTTTTACCTTCAGCCTACTCTGCTTCATTTACCAGTGTATCGTAAAGTATCTTTCAACTTTCTTAGAATTCTTCTTTACTTCTTTATTCCGTGCACTGTAGATTATATTCATCTTCTCCTATTACACTTATCCCAAATACAAATAATGTTAATTATAATAATAAAAAAAAGAGAAAACTTATCGAAATAATCATCTTGAATAATAAAAATACAAATGAAGAAGAAGACAAAAGAAAAGAAGATACTTACTTATATACAATTTTAACTCCTCCTTTTAATCCACTATCCCAAATCCCTTTACCACGACCACCAGCTAACACTTGAGCTTTTAAAACTATATCTGTGCTATCTGTAGTCTCACCTAAAGCAGAAATGGAAAATAAATAAATAAAAAAGGTTAATCGCAAAAGTATTATACACTATATATACGTCAAAATATAGTTAGATTTATAGATATTTAAGAAAAATCCATAACTAATTTAAAAGTGCATATGCATTCTACAAGAAACAAAGTAATAATAATAGTGAATATACTTAACGCGCGTGGTATGTTAGAAAGTGAAAACATTGAGCGTTGAAATAATAGTAATATTAATAATAACAATAACAGCTACGGAAGAGCAGTATATATATATTAAAACTGAAAACGCATTGATATCAGTTAGAGAACCACAGAAAACGGGGAAGTACTGGACAGCTGTTCCGTCTCAGTCTGGGAATCATCGGTAGTACACACCCGCCGGGGTTCAAAGCCACGACTTTCCCGTTACAAAGCAACCTCGTAGACTATTCAGCCACTGAGACCGAACTCAATGGTGAGCCCATGGATTCTAACTTTTACAATTCGTGACTTTAGCGCGACCACAGGTCAATGTCATATTTTTTACTTCCTTAACCTCGCCAGTGGAACATAGGGCTTCAAGCTGGAGGCTCGAAGTTTCTGTAGCAGTGTTTATTTTTACAGGATGGGGTTGCTAGCCTCATGCCCAAACTTCCCTCTTTACCAGTCTTATTACTGGCTAAGTCAGGTAAAGGAGTGCATCGGCCGGGGATCGAACCCCGGACCATGTGCATGGTCGGCGAACATGCTAACCGCTGTGCCATCGACGCACCGACGTCAATGTCATAGGCGAGTATTTTTCATCACTTCTGACCGGGTGGACCTCACTGGTCACAACTTCTTACCAGAACTACAAGCAACCTGGCTCTATAGCCAGTCAGTCACTAGAAAGACTGTCATATAACCGGAAGGTTGTGGGTTTAAACCCCAGTGTGGTGGGTATGTACTGATGACGAGTCCTAAGCTAGGATGAAACACCTGTCATGTACTCCCTGGTTCCAATAGTTCCCTAACTGATATCAATCCGTGATCAAACTTGAAACAAATTAAATCCCTACAAAAAGTCTCTTGTATAAATATAAAGACTAACCTTTTAATAATTTGGGTTACAAACTTTGAAAAATTTCTACATTACATTATAGCCGTTAATCTTATTCCTTAGTAGAAAATCCAATGAACCTTTTTAAGTACTTCACACAGACTGACATCTCTGTCAAATTCTGAATCAATACAGCTTGAACTCATTTCAGTTGATCTTAGCAAGGAGGTATGATGAACAAACAAACAACACGTGTCAATAAGAATATTTTACAAAGCGAGAAGAAGAAAAGTTATCATAAAGGGGTGAGAAACATCATTGTTGTTTAGAACAGTGATATTAAAATACTGCGTCAGTCATTTAACGGGAGAATTTTTGCCAACCACCCCTTATGTGGTCTGGAGTTCAATCCCCGATCGACGCACACTCCTAAACCTGGTAAAGAGGGAAGGTTCAAAGTGAAACTAGCAATCTCACCCCGTAGAAACAAAAAATCACCGTCATGGGAACTTCAGAGCTCGAGCTTGAAGTCCCAGGTTCCACTCAAAAAGGAAAGGAATGAAAATTTTTTAATGATAATAATAATTGAAATATTAGTACAATTCTTTGCTTGAATAGTAAGTTAAGATAACTTAATATTCCGTATTAAATAACGAAATAGTCCCAATAAATTAGGAGGGAAATATCAACTAGGACTTTTGTATAAAGCCGGAAATCAGTTGACGTCTTACGTTTCTTTTGTAGCTCATGTTTCTTCCTTCAAATATGCTGATATAATGAATGAGAATTCTGAGTAAAAGTGAATAATGTGTCAACGAGTAAAAATCGTTGCTTATTATTTCTTTAATTAAGGTAACTTATGAAACACTTCTGTAATCTCTTGTAAACGTAATATCTTATCATCAGATCAAGCATTTTGACTCTTTTTATGAAGATAGTTCGTCAAATCAAAAGATACCTGAGGAATTTACATCATCTTAAGAGCCTGAGGCAATTTTTTTAAAATGCCTTTTAGTCTTCCCTGGGTCTCTAGCTGTTCTCGGTTGGTGAATTGTTATGCAGTGATTAACCACAGAGCACTAACAGGTCGTCAATGCTTTTTTCGACTTCCTTTTTTATCTTAAAAGAGTAGGATAGAGTATTATATTATTACTATTAATACACGAACACGGTATATCGTAGACACCAAGAGATGCGCCATACAAAATCTCATAATTTTGGCGAGGGCTGCGGCGCTTCCAGGAAGCTCAGACTATATCAGGTAGTTATTTTAAGGGACCACCTGAGACCTATGACTTGGAGCCTCATCCACAGGGCAGTGAAAAAGCGTCAGCAGGTATGTTTCGATGGCTGCCAGTGACCAAAACGGATTCATCATACACCACTTGATCTCTTCGGATTCTGTTGCCGCGACGTATACCATATGTTTGAAATCAGGGCTTTCCAGATCCAGGATGTCCACCAGTCCGGTTGTAAGCGCTAGATGTTCTCTCATTCTCCCTTTCACTCTTGTGAAGAACAGCTCCCATGGTGTGAATGCAATGAATACGACTTACCTTGTAGTAGAGGCCATGAACGCATGGAACACATGGAAGCATTCCGAGAGAAAGACTGAAGTGTACCCTCCTCCCTCGATTGTACTAGACAGTTTATGGGAGTGGGAGTAGCGTGCAGATTAGACATTTAGACAAACTGCACATATATTCAAAGAAAAGTGCACCATCTTTCATACAAGCTAAAGAAATGCATGAACAGGTAACTTGAATTTTTTAAAAATAAAACAACTTAGAAGAACACCGAACAGAGACAGAAATGCAAGAGAAGAGACACAGACAGACAGACAGGAAGAGAAAGAGAGAGAGAGAAAGATCACAAAAAATAACTAACTTCTTATAGGCCATGACTAAACAACTAATTACCTCACCTGCATTCTCTATTTCTTTTTCAGTTAAAACACCTAGACAAAATAATAAATGTATCATAAAGAATTAGAAATGAATCAGTACATTCATTCATTCATTCATTGCAGGGTAAGGCATGCATACCATTTAACTAAAAAATGATGGAGTAAATGCATCACAGAAACTTTGAAGACAGCAAAAGTAGCAGGATAATATACAGGCTTATGTTTTATTATTTCATGGATTCTCTTTATATATACATATATATGACAAAACAGGATGTGAACCTACTTTTATCACGTTGACAGGGGATTATTATTATTATTGGGAACTATAAGTAACATGAGTCATGAATGATGTTAGTAGTTAAGATTATTAAATGTTAAAAGGATTGACTATTTATAGGATAATTAGACGAATATTCTTGAAATAAAAAATACGTTTCAAAATTTTCTCAGGAGAATGAGAGTTTAACTAGAAAGAGTATTTTCAAGTGTTGACCTGCAAAGATTTAATTGATTTCAAGCTTGAAAATTTAACTTAGTGCTCGCTAGTGGGTGATTACAGTAAAAAGTTGCTTGCAGTTCTAGTGAGAAGTCGTAACTAGTGGAGTTCATCAGATCGGTATGGAGACAAATACTCGTCGATGACATTGGCTGGCTGATGGTCACGCTAAACATTGTAAAATAGCTGAAGCAAGAATTAATGGACCATTTGGATCCCGTCCTAGTGGTTGAATGGTCAACAACCTTGCCTCATAATTAAATCGAAACTCCTGGTTTTGATTCCCGGTGGATTTATTGAGGCGTACAGTTGAATAGTTCCAAACAAGGGTGAAACAGTTGTCTAGTACTTCCTGGTTTTCAATGGTTCTTTAAATGAAGTCAGTTTGTGAACACAGTAGAAGTAGTACATCAGTATAACAGATAGTTTGACTACTAAAATATTTTACCATAGGAAAAAGGAGGAAGGTGAGTGACATTCATAAGATAAAAAAGACTTTGAAACAGAACAAAAGATACTGAAGAATAAATGTGGCAATAAGATTGCATAACATTGTTCTGTACACATAATTGCCAAGGTAATGATAGGTTAACCACTTTCCCTTTGTTTTAGAAAAGCATAATAGACTGGATTTCCTTAGTATGCTTTCAGACTGTCCACTAGATAACTAGCAACCAATAGATGGTGTGCTTCTTTGTAAGCGTAAAATATTCTTCTCTTTTAAAATAAAACACTTTTACTGAAGTCAACAAAGAGTGATAATATTACAACTCGTAAGAAAGAAAAGGGAGTAGAGTAGGTTAGAGCTATTACACGTGCAGAAAACATTTATATATAAAACTATTGGATGAGATCGAAGTGTTCACGGTCTTGTGATATGATGTAAATATATTCACATCTTAGTGTGAAGTGAAACATGCTAAGTAAAATGCGACAGCTTACCACTCGAAATAGTGCCTATTTCAATAATGCAGAGAGTATAGTGTCCCAATAAAAATAGAAATATAAGAAATTCAACAATATGAATTTTCCAACCGCAGATGTAAAAGCGAGTAAAGAAAGATTTGGTAAGATATTTGTTGTTGGGTAGTTTAAGGCCATCGGCAAGAAGCGCTGCTGCTTATTGGCTGTCATTGTGGAGACGCAGTTCATTGGCTTAAACACTCGGCTTCTAGCCAGTGGGTCTAAAGTTCGAATCCTCCTCCACATACTTCAGCTTAAGCAATTAGGTAGTATCATTAACCTTCATATACAATATTTGTGTAGTTCATAGCCTAGAACACGAAATGTTTGTCTCACGAACTGAGTTTAAACACTTAAAATGACAGTCATTACCAAGGAGTATATGCAAACTCGATGGAAAGGGTACTTCCCCAGACATTCAAAACGATGTCACTCAGTACAGTATTGAATGACGTTACCTTGACCTGACCTGAATTTTTAACACGGAACTTGGTACAAAAGAGTGTAGTCATTCAATTTGCCATAATTTATCAAGCATAAACAAACGTAAAAAAAACAAATGCTATGAAAATGTAATAAATGGGAATGTGCTGGAGAAATAATAATGATTTTCA